CTAGATTAAGAGATGGCCTCACTTAAAACACACAGAAGAAGAAAGGACTCAGATTGCTAGCCATCCTGCAACTATTATGTAGAGAAAAAGAGGCAATGGTGCACACAAGAATGGAGAACTATACTCCCCAGAAAACAAACAAAAGACTTACTAGGCTAAATGTACAACTAGACTCTTGAGATATAAGCACATCCAAACAGTCAAGAGAGCTAAACTGTATAATAGACCTCAGGTTTGGGGCCAGAGAGATAATAGAACAGTGTAAGGTATGCCAGCCAGAAAAGGCTTATGAGGCTTAGAGTAAACAGGAAAAACACCTAGGGGAGAACAGCCTAGAGTATATTGAGAGGCAGATTTTGCAGAAGTTAGGGTAGGAAAATATTTGTAGATACTATCTCTAGATGGGTTGGGGCTTTCCCCACCAAGCAAAAAACAGTTACTGTGGTAACCAAGAAAATATTAGAAGAAATCTTCTGAGGTTTCGAGTGTCCGAGGTAATTAAATCAGATAACAGTCTTGCTTTTGTTTCTAAGGTAAGTCAGGGATTGGCAGAGATATTGGGGACTAATTGGAAGCTGCATTGTTCGTACTGTCCCCAGAGCTCAGGACAGATAGAGAAAATAAACAGAACCCTAAAAAGAGACCTTAACTAAATTGCCCTCGGAAACTGGCGCTGGCTGAGTGATGTCCCTTGTCCTGTCCCTGTTCTGAGCCTGGAACACCCCTCTTGTATGGGACCCCCACTCCCTTGACTCCGGCTCTTGACTCACCACCCTCCCCTCCAGAAATGACTTTTCAGGTTAATAAGATGCTGTTCCTGATGCTGCTGACCTTCCTGACCTCCATTAAATTAGATGGAATAACTGCCTGACTTCATATAACTCAGACCAGCACCTGCACCTGATGCCAACTGGAGAGCAGCTGGACACCAGAGCAACCCCCTCAAGCTCAAGATCACCTGATGTTCTACAAGGCCAAAGAACAGCAGGCCTTAACTCCTGAGATATCCCCACCCTAGAGGACAGGGGTGGAGATTACCCAAATGTCGGAGATAAGAGACTTTTGAATCTAAACAGTGTCCCAGATGCAGCCTTAGAGGGTGGGGCTTAGGGTGCATTCACCCAGAGTTAAATGACAGCTTGCGATTCCAGGATTGGAATCACCCACAAGAAAAAGGGGGGAATGTAGGACTTTTGGGTCTCAGTTTGAACTTAGAATTCAGGTCTTGGTTTGAACTTAGAATTCACTACCCCAGGGTACATTCTGAGAGGAGCACATTCCTTAGTCTGAGGACACTTGCTGGATTAACATTTAGAGGAAGAAGGGAGAGGCTGGTTAACATTCCTCAGACCACAGGGGAGGGAACCCACCTGCAGGTGAGGAGGGCCCAGAGCATGTAGACACATTCCAGGAATCAGGAAGCTGGGCCCTTAACGTAATAAACCTGGGCAAATGGAAGACACTCATTGTCATAATCTGAGTCACCTGGAGGTCAGACTTTGTGGTTTCCCCTTGTGAACTCTGTATGAGAACTGCTCCCAGCTTTTGTTCGGGGCTCTCTTGCCTGCATGTGAGAGAGTCCTAGTGCACTAGTATCATTAAACCTCATGTTATTGCAGCGAGCCCCATCCGTGTGTGTTTCTGTGGGAGCGCATCCCTTGGGTTTAGATCTTAGAATCCAACACTGGCAGTGACGGCTTGGCTGAGTAGTTTTCCTGCAGCAGCAGAGAGTGGGCAAGTGAGGGGGCAACAGTAGCGTGAGCAGCAGCAGTGCAAGTGTGGCATGGTGGGACAAGAGAGCTAGTGCACCCAGATGATTCCTGGCAACTCTGCTCTACACACTGTATGCACCGCCCTTCCTGAAAGAGCCCCAGCCTGCTAGTGACTGTTGTCAAATAGGGTCATGCAGGGAGTGAGAAAGGAGCGGGAGGGGCAGAAAGCGGAGGCAAGTTCATTGGAGCAAAGCCTGTACATAGGAATCTTTCCATTTTTGGATCACTGGCGAGAGTTGTAAAAGTTTTGTCTGTTTGTTTTAAAGCACCGTAAAGTGGCCACTAGAGTTATTACCTAGTGAGTATTGGGGTCAAGTTTTGGAAGCTTTTAAGACTGGGAGGTGTCCTGGTAGGGAGCCTGGGTGTGCCAGCGAAGACATTTCCTTTATGAGTGAGAGGAGATGTTATTAATATTACCCCATATATTGATATGTTATCAATATCCTGAGGATAAATTAATAACTAGAAATGGTAACAGCCATTCCAGCTCATCAGGTCGTCATCTGATGAAGTGTAGGCTAAGCTCCGGTGATGAGCAGACCGCTTCACTTAGGCCTAGGATTGCCCAACAGCGAGAAAGGAACCTCGAGGAGAGAGAAGGATCTCACCCAGGGGAAGATGTCCTTCCCTCAGTCAGCTAGCAAGGAGCTCTCAAAGCCTACCCCCACAGTTACATACTTCCTCCAATAAGGCCCTACCTACCCCAACATGGCCACATCTCCAAATACTGCCACTTCCTGGGGCAAGCATATTCAAATCACCACGGTGTGTCCCTGAATGGAGGCCCAGAGAGGATATTGCATGTACCTGTGAAGTTGAAGTTTCCGTTGGAGACTCCAAAATGTTAGAGATGCCAGAGCCATGGAATACCTGCCGAGGAGAGCTTCTAACAGGGAGTGGAGTCCTCCTAGGAGACAGAAGTGCTTTGCACTAAACAAAGCTGAAAGGAGTTTGCCCAGCTGCTTTTCAGTTTTTATTTGTTCCAGTATTTCCTCACTATACGCTCTTCCTCATGTTTTGGAATGGTAATGTATATCCCATGCCATTGTATATTGGAAGTATGTGACATGATTTTTGATTTTGGTGTTATAGAGAGTGCAGATAAAAAATTGCATGAATGTCAGAAAAGAGTTTCGGGGGCTGGAGAGATGGCTCAGCGGTTAAGAGCACTGACTGCTCTTCCAGAGGTCCTGAGTTCAAATCCCAGCAACCACATGGTGGCTCACAAACCATCCATAATGAGATTCGATGCCCTCTTCTGGTGTGTCTGAAGACAGCTACAATGTACTCATAAATAAAATAAATAAATCTTTAAAAAAAAAAAAAAGAAAAGAAAAGAGTTTCAACTTTGAGCTTTTGAACATTGTTGAGTGTGTGACAGGCTGGGGGAGGTTTTGAAGTTGGACTGACTGCTTTTGCACTATGTCATTGTTAAAGCTTACGGATGCCATGGAATGGAGTGTGGGAGTTGAATACACTTTGCTGCCGTAGACTCATGTGCTTCCATGTTGCTCAATGGAGAGGGGAACTATTAGGAGATGTGCTCGTGTTGGAGTAGAGGTGGTGTTGTGGGAGGAAGTGTGCCACGCTGGGGTGGGCTTTGAGGGGGTCTCTATGCTCGGGCTCTGCCCAGTATATAACCTGTGTTGCAGCCTGACTGTTAATGGAACTAGTCTTTTTCTTGCTTCCACAGAGCTGTCACCTGTTCCTCCAGCACCAAGTCTGCATCTACACTGGCATACTTTCCTCCGTGATAATGACAGATTAAACCTCTAAAATATAATCTAGTATAATTTAATTTAAATGTTTAAATGTTATATAATTTAAATGTTTTCTGTTATAAGAGTTTCCATCGTCATGATGTCTCTTCATAGCAGCAAAATACTAACTTAGACAGGGAGAAACCCCAAGATTAGTTAAAATCCCATTTTCAGGAATAGGCAGATGGAGAAACCTAGACTGCATTTATGTAGAGTCCCTTTGACATGAGACAGGGGGAGCCAAGGCTTATGAGTCTGTGAAGCTTCAGTGGTTTTCTAGCTTACAAGGTAAGATATCGTAGCATCACTGTGTCTACGAGGAGACCCAGTGAGGACACAGTATCGATGGTATAGGTGAGGCTTCAGACCCAAGCCTGACCGGTGATTCACTGCAGGGAACATTTGCAAGTAAATTGTGTGGAACAATGACTATACTATGTGACAAACTCTGACACGCTACTGCTTCCATAAAGAGATTTTTTTTCTTTCGGGGAAAACTTGTCAGGACCAAGGGCAGAAATGAAGGGATGGGCAGATGAGTGGGATTTGTGTCCATGATGTGAAATTCACAAAGTATAAAAAGTGTCCCTGGGGTGTTTTTTTAGTTATTGATTGATGAGGGGTTGTCCATCACAATGTGGATTGTGCTACCCTTGGGCTGGTGGTCCTGGGTTGTACAAGAAAGCAGCCATGAACAAGCCATGAGCAACACGCTGGGAAGACGCGCCCTCCATGCTCACTGCGTCAGCATCTTCTGCCTCTACGTTGACTTCTGCTTGAGTTTCTGCTCTCACTGTGTTTGATGATGAACTGTTGTAGGAAACTGTGACTGAAACAAAACCCTTTCTACTCTGTCAAATATGCAATGTTGGATTAAATATTCACTCATAGTTTAAAGAGTACAGGACCCACAATACAGAAACAATGTCACAATGTTTTTTTTCCCCCATCGATTATTTATGTCAAAACAACTCAAAAATTAAAATAAAAGTGCAGGTTCTTAGGTATGGTTGGGCATACACGAGAATGGACATCACAGGTGGAACTGAGGACTCAAGACAGTCTTAGGGAAAACCAGGCAGGGAGATTCCCAGTGGGGCACAGGCCTGAGATGAGGCATTACCACCCAGCTTCACTTGTATCCGCAGCCTCCTGCTGTCATAGCTTGTCACTAACAGCAGATTGTTTACTCCCCAGAAATCTATTCTTTGTTGATCTGTTTGAATGTGTCTTTGTATTATCTGTTAATAATCATTTCTTGGCAATGCCATATGGAATTCAATGGTCCCAGAAATGAGAGGTTTGATCCTCCTTTTCTGTTTCCTTCTAAAATGATGTTTGAAATTCTGTGATATGGAGTAAATGTATGAAGCACTCAGAATTCTGGAAATATATTCTCAATGTAATGTACGTTTACAATATAATCAAGTTTCACCATTTTATTATGTACATGTATGGGGTATTTTAGGCTGGAGTGAGCTATGAGGATGTGCATGTGAACTTCACTCAGGAAGAGTGGGCTTTGCTGGATCCTTCCCAGAAGAGTCTCTACAAGGATGTGATGCTGGAAACCTGTAGGAATCTCACTGCTATAGGTAAGAATCTGAGTTTTTCTTGACTTTTTAAACAAAGGGACAAGCCTTTCTGTAATTTCTATTGTCAAAGAGGAAGAATGTAGTAAGTAATCAGACATGGTTCTCAGATTCACCAGAGATAATAAATTAAAATTTGCACAGTATCCAATAGTATATCATAAATTTTCTGGTACTGTATTTTAGGCTACAAATGGGAACACCACAGTATTCAAGAACGTTGTCAAAGTTCTGGAAGATATAAAAGGTAATTTTCATGTGGAAGCTGATACAAATGCATCACTGAAGAACATTTAATGTCCTCTGAAGTGTTTAAGAAAAGCAGCAGTGTAAATAAGCACAGATTTAAGGATACTGATGATTACTAAATTCTCAGAAGACCATGTTCTTTAGTTTCAGGTAGCTGGCCTGTGCTTGTAAGGGGTTCCTCTAAGAAACAAGACAAAGAAACAACATCTTAGCACGTGATTCTGTCAGTCTATTTAGTTTTATCCCATTTAAGTATCCTTAAAAGCATGTACATTGATTAGGGGCCCAGTGAATATCCTTTTATAAGCAAATAGTCCATAGTAAAGGTAGTGTCACTCATATACTTACAGTGACGTTCCAAAGTTTAGTGAGAGGAACAGTTTATGAGAAACAAGGTGGTTGATATTATGGAGAAATGTTAATCCCTATAGCACAGGTCTATGGAGGGGGACAAAATTTTCACAGGTGTAACTGTAGTGTAAAAACCTTTTGTTTATTGTTTCTCCTTTAATAGGTATAATATCTGTCACTCTGGAGTCCAGCCTTGTGAGCGTAAGGGATATGGAAAGAAGCAATGTACCTTTGCAAGTAACAGTGTTCTTCAAACTGATGAAAGAGATCATACTGAAGAGAAATCCTGTAAATGTAATCAGTGCAATAAAACCTTTGCAAATTTTAATAGTCTTCGACAACATCAAAGAAGTCATACTAGGAAAAAACTCTATGACTGTAACCACTGTAGTAAAGCTTTTCCAAGTCGAAGTTCTCTTCAAGTACATGAAAGAACTCATACGGGAGAGAAACCCTATGACTGCAATGAATGTGGTAAAGCATTTTCAACTCGCAGTCATCTTCAAATACACCAAAGAACTCATACTGGAGAGAAACCTTATGACTGCAGTGAATGTGGTAAAGCCTTTGCAAGTAAAGGTAATCTTCAAATACACCGAAGAACTCACACAGGAGAGAAACCGTATTGTTGCAGTGAATGTGGTAAAGCCTTTGCTACTCACAATAATCTTCAAATACATGAAATAATTCACACTGGAGAGAAACCCTATAGATGTAATGAATGTGGCAGAGCCTTTGCATACAGCAGAGCTCTTGAAGCACATGAAAAAACTCACACTGGAGAGAAACCCTATGAGTGTATCCAGTGCAACAAAGCCTTTGCGAGTCATGTTAGTCTTCGAAATCATCAAAAACATCACACTGGAGAGAAACTGTTTGTGTGTATGCAGTGTGGCAAAGCCTTTACAAGTCAGAGTATTCTTCATAGACATGAAAGAACTCACACTGTTGAGAAACCGTATGAATGTAATCAGTGTGGTAAAGCCTTTGCACTTCGAAATTATCTTCACATACACAAAAGAACTCACACTGGAGAGAAACCATATGAATGTAATCAGTGTGGTAAAGCCTTTACAAGTCATGCTAATCTTCAAAATCATGAAAAACATCATACTGGTGAGAAACCCTATGGATGTACTCAATGTGGTAAAGGCTTTGTATGTAGTAGCAGTCTTCAAATGCATGAAAGAAGTCACACTGGAGAGAAACCTTATGAATGTAATCAGTGTGGTAAGGCTTTTACAAGTCGTAGTTATATTCAAATACATGAAAGAATTCATACTGGAGAGAAACCCTACGGATGCAAGCAATGTGGTAAAGCCTTTGCATATAGCAGTAGTCTTCAAATACATGAAAGAAGCCATACTGGAGAGAAACTTTATAAATGTACTCATTGTGATAAAGCTTTTGCAAGTCGTAGTTATCTTCAAATACACAAAAGAGTTCATACTGGAGAGAAACCCTATGAATGTAATCATTGTGGTGAAGCCTTTGCAAGTCGAGGTAGTCTTCAGAATCATGAAAAACATCATACTGGAGAGAAACCTTATGGGTGTAACCAATGTGGTAAGGTCTTTGCACGTCGCAGTAATCTTCAAATACATGAAAAAATTCATACTGGAGAAAAACCCTTTGGATGTCAGCAGTGTGGTAAAGCCTTTGTATTAAAGCGTGATCTTCAAATACATGAAAGAATTCATACTGGAGAAAAACCCTATGGATGTACTCAATGTGGTAAAGCCTTCATATGTAGTAGCAGTCTTAAAATGCATGAAAGAACTCACACTAGAGAGAAACCTTGTGAGTGTAATCAATGTGGAAAAGCCTTTGCAAGTCACAGTTATCTTCAAATACACAAAAGAGTTCACACTGGAGAGAAACCCTATGAATGTAATCAGTGTGGTAAAGCCTTTGTAAGTCATAGTTATCTCCAAGTACATAAAAGGGCTCATACTGGAAAGAACCCAAATGAATGTAATTAATGCAATAAAGCCTTTTTAACTCACAGTTATCTTCAAATACACAAAAGACTTCACACTGGAGAGAAACCATATGGATGTAATCAATGTGGTAAAGGCTTTTCATAGGCAGGAAATAATTCACACTGGAGAGAAACCCTATGAATGTAATCAATGTGGTAAAACATTTACAAGTTGAAGTTATGTTCAAGTACATAAAAGAGTTCATACTGGAGTGAAACCTTAAGAATGTACTCAATGTGGTAAAGCCTTTGCATATCACGCTAGTCTTTGTAATCACAAAAAATTTCGTACTGGATAGAAATCCTATAGATGTAATTGATGCAATAAAAGTTTGGCTCATCAGTATAATCTTGAAACACATTGCAGACCTAATATATGAGAAAAGTCAATGTCATAATGCCTCTATATGTCATAGTCTTCTTGAAAGTCATGAAAGCGTTCCTACTGGAAATAATCACTGTGAACCCAGTAATGTGCTAAAGCCTTGTACAGCAAGCACATGTTTCCCACTGAGCCATGTTCTGGCGCTTATAGAAGATTAGCAGAACTATTTCATCCTTTAAAAATTGTCTTGTTTTCTTTTTCTTTTCTTTTTTTTTTTTGGAATTTATGTATGAGTGTTTTATCTGCATGTACACCTGCGAAGAGGTCATCAGACCTCATTATAGATGGTTGTGAGCCATCATGTTGTTGCTGGGAATTGAACTCAGGACCTCTGGAAGAGCAGACAGTGCTCTTAATCACTGAGCCATCTCTCCAGTCCCCTAGTTTTCTTATTATATACACATTGTCACCCAAGAATAGAAGACCACAATAATTTGAATAATAAAACCTATTTGCAAATGACAATTAAACACTGCCATCCATTTTTATGGGTTATGTTAGTTTATTCTGAGGGATAAATACTTGTTCTTAACACTAAGGAATGCAAAGGAATGGCAGAGAATTGTCACTGTGGGTAAAGGAGGTTGCTGCTAAGCTTGGTGATCTGAGTTTATTCTGTGGGAGACAAACATTACTCATGCAAGTTTTTCTCTGATTCCTATACTCGTGCTATGACATATGCACACCCACAGAGTAACACATACATAAATATTTTTGAAACTTAAATAAGGACCTGTGAGTTCACTCACTAGTTGAAGATACTTGCTGCAAAACTTGACTACATGGGTCACACTTACCCAGAGGAAATATGAATAGACACTTGTGTTGGCTTCTGACTGACACATGCACAGGTGTATTCACCCAGGTAAAATTATTGAACATGAAATTAAGAAAACAAAATAGCCACAGTATTAAGAACATAAATGATTTATCAGTTGTAATTAATATATTGCTTTTGTTCATCAAAGAATGATGGTTTGTGCATAAATCTTACAAAGTTTTTTCATTCTCTTATTCAAAGATAGGTCATTGTAAAAACACCTCAGTTGAGTGTAGAGTTACTTGCCTATAATCCCAGCACTTGGGAGACAGAAGCAAATGGGTTTCTCTGAGTTTGAGCCAGGCTAGACTACAAAGTGAGTTCCAGGATGGCATGATTATGTATAGAGACCCTGTCTCAAAGAAAAAAAAATCCAGAAGCCAACCATCCTACCACTACCACCACCATAAACAGCAAAAATCTCAAGGCATTGGGAACAAAATACTCCTGAAACCAAACAACCATGTCTCCCTTTATGAAGCCTTTTCAAGTATAATCTGAACTTATCTCTACTCAACTAAGTCTTTTTTTTTTTTTGGTTTTTCGAGACAGGGTTTCTCTGTGTAGCCCTGGCTGTCCTGGAACTCACTCTGTAGACCAGGCTAGCCTTGAACTCTCAAACTCAGAAATCTGCCTGCCTCTGCCTCCCAAGTGCTGGGATCAAAGGCGTGCGCCACCACCGCCTGGCTCAACTAAGTCTTTTGTTGTCTTCACTCTCATGGAAAGAGCTGCTAAAAATGACACTGAAAAGCAATAGCAGAGTCCATTCACAAAAGGATAGATATCTGTTCAGTTCTTCAGTGACCATTTATCAGGGACCCTGTAAGTGATAGAAGACCAAGGGAATAGTGGAGCCTTTTCATTTTTGTGGTCTGGAATGTTGACACAGCAGTCCTGCTCCTGTTCCTGGCAGCCACATCAGATGGGTCAGAACTACCCCTAATTCCTGGTATAGAAATTCTGATACATTCTTCTGGCTTCCTTGGGCAGTGGGTATGCAAAGGTTGTAGGTTTGCACACGTGCGTGCACGCGCGCACACACACACACGCACACAGGACCACAGGACTCCATATTTTAAAACATGTATGTATAAGTGTAAAAACATATATTATATTTTTAGAAAATAAATGTAATTTAATTTACATGTATTATTGAGAAATAGTCCTGGAATGGAATTAGATGAGAATTCTGAGTGCTTGTGAAAACACCTAAAAAGTGAGAAGATTCTTATGACCATAGTTTCTTCAAATCACAGGCTTGTTATTGGAATGTGTTTTCATGCTCCTCTGAGATGAAGGAGTTAGGAGTGAGATCACTCATTATTGCTTGTAGTTGTTCATTTAAACGTTTATAGTATGCTTTATAAGTTTCTGTAGGAAAACATGTTTGTCACGTGTGTTTGTTCTCTTGTACACAGCTTTATTCATGAGAACTTTACTCAGGTGACATCTTAATCTTCAGAGTATAGATTGCCTCTGGCTCTGTATAAAGTTGGCTATTGCTTGAGACTTAAGTCCAGATTTCCTATTGGCTCAGTTCTCCCAGGTGGCTCCCCACCACACCCTCAGACCAGTGATAAGAGCTGAACAGGGACCAAATGTCAGCCATGAGTGAGGTGAGTGAGACTGATGGATAGAAACCTGGGAAGGCTTTGCCTTTTTTCAAGAGTGTGCACTATTTTTGAAACAAAGAAGGGCGTATGTGTATTAAGAAGACATCTGCTAGAGTTCTTGCAAGTCATTTATGATTTTAATCTCTGCTTTTCATAAGACGGACTTTAGATGAAGAACTATGGGACAGAGTCTGAAAGAATATTGAAAGGGGAGATGAGCCAGTGGAAGAGATCCCTGTTCAGTTTTGGGTCCCTTGGCCATTAATTAGGACTGTTTTCAAAATACTTAAAGAAGATGAAAGGGATAGTAATCATGAGGAAATAATAACAGGCTCTTGAATGAATCAAAACTGGGTAATTAAACCTTAAAATTGGTTAAAGAGGTGGGGCAGGGAGAGAGAGAGAGAGAGAGAGAGAGAGAGAGAGAGAGAGAGAGAGGGGGGGAGGAGAGAGAGAGAGAGAGAATATACTTTTTCTGTTGAAGGAAAGTTATAAACAGCAGGTCCTGTCCGGGTGACAGCCCCCGGCTTTCTTACTGGAGTTACTTTACATACTGGAGTTAGTTTGCATACAGACCCTCCAGCGCCTGAGATCTCCCTGAAGCATGGAGTATGGAACTGTGTCATCAAGCTAAGTTTAAATTCTGACCATTGTTTTGATGAGGATGAAAAAGCTGACTTTATAACTTAGGCAAGCTAAGTGACACATGGAAGAGAAATTTATTAATTCCCTGTTTCATGAACTACACTTTATATTTCAAGTAAAGTTTAGCAGAATCAAAATACATAACCTTTAGTTGTGCATTAACCAATCTATTCAAAATTCTAGAAGGGCAGACAGCACTGACAGTCCTCACATATTCTTTCAAGAAGCCACTTGAGCTCTTCAGACTAAAAGATTATCATAGGAGATTATGGACCCATTTCCCAGGTAGCAAGATATGGGATTGCCTTGTATGAATTTTTGATTACAAAAGTTGTCCCATCTTCTCCCATTCTACAGGCAGATGCTGAATTGATCAATGGCTAATCTAATGGTATCTGAAGGATTTGTGTTCCATATATTTGCTATTCATCAATCTATTTATACTATTTTTTCTCAGTCCAACAATCGGAACTGTGTTCTGATTCACCTATCATGGTTAATTCATAACCCCTTACATATAGTTTCTGACTCAGTGTATATTGTAGGATTATTGCCAGCAATAGAAACTGCATTAGCCCCATCTTCACTCCTTGTTATATTCCCATCACAACTGGAAATGTAACATCTGTTTAAAACCCATCCATTTCTTTTCTTTATCACTCATGCACACGGTAACCTCCCTGGTTTGGTTTGTTTGTTCTGGTTTTTTTTTGTTTTTTGTTTTTTGTTTTTTCAGAAGGGAATAGCAAGTTGATGAATTAACCTGCCCAGTTTTTACCTCTTCAGCACAGGAACATCCACACCCACACACTCATGCTGATAGCTTGTTGTGCCACATCCTACCTAGACAAAGGTAACCATTCATTGTGAAGGAATATGCTATGTGTGCCGCTTTACACTATTCTAATCATTCCTCTGGAGCTTACCCCAGAGGTAAAAATACTGATGAATCTTGTGCCACGGATACCACCCTATATATTTCCATTGATACATTAGTAGTTCTCAGGAATGGTAGTTCCTCAGTACTCAGTGAAAGCTGCTACAGTACGCTCTTCTCTTAAACTTTTTCTGCTGTGTGACTGCCTACTCCTATAAAAACTGACAGTGAACTAGCCTATAGTGTTATAAATTTTAAGAAGTTCTTTAAGGAATGGAATAGTGATCTGGTTACAGACACTCCTTATAACTCTCAAGGCCAGGGCATAGTTTTTAAGACCACATAGAACATTAAAACGATAAAATGTTCAAGATGTCACAAACATTTTGAACAGAGCATTATGAGTTACCTTTACATAGGGCTGTGTTGTTTAAACAGTTTGACATTTGGCAGCCACTTTGGCTGAAGAAACTTGGGATGGGATATTCGTCTGTCACTGGGAGTAAATCCCTTGTATAAGATATATTTTAATAAGGACAAAGCACTGTAGTGGATCTCTAACTGTAATCCTATTTCACCAAAACTCTTTGCTCATGAAAGTCAAGAAAAGGAGAAATTTAATTGTCTAATTCCTGTGCCTGGTAGGCTGCTTAAAGATGATCTCAGACAAGCCATGTGACCTGAGTTCAACTCTTGGAATGCATAGGGTACCAACTTCTGCATAGTTTACTCTGATGTCTACATGTGCACTGTGGAATATAGAGCCACCTTCCACCCAATAGCATGTGTGCACATATATCTACCCACCCAGAAGGAATAAATATACAAATATATTAAACATGTAACAATATCCATTTCTTATCCATGTATATGTTAATGACAAAGCTAACTTACCTGTCAGTACTTCACACCAACCCCAAAGCACCAAAATGAAATGAAGTCTAAGTCCACACTTTAGAACATCTGAACTCTTTCCAATTTATCTATTTGTTCATTTGTTTTTATG